GAAGACAATGATGAATGTTTAACCCAATTTCTTGGATTAGTTGAAGTTAGACATTAACACCGTTGGGTGCCTGCTCAGTGGTCTAGTGGTTAAGTGCTCGCGCGCGAAACCAGTAGGTCCTGTGTTCGAATCTCGCAGGGGGCGAGGTCGTGGATGCGCACTGCTAAGGAGTCCCATAAGAGGACGAAACGACTGTCCAGTGCTTCCATGTTTTCCATGGTGGTCTAGCTTCAACCGACTCATGATCTTAACCATTGAACTTACTTTAATATCCACAAAACCCATCTGATACTAATTATTTATCAAAAATTGTACGACAATTACCTTGTTTTCAAATCTTCTTTATCCTAATAGAATAAGGTAGAATAATTCTGTAATGAGTGTTTAAAGGTTGTATGTTGAAATTCAGAGTTAGGATCTTCACCTTTTATTCAAGAACATCAGAATCATACCTTTCGTTTTGGGTTCATGTCATCAAATTCTAAAAATAATTGCTCAGATTCTGTTGATCTTATTGATCAATTTGTTATACATCTACAAGATGATCGCTAGATTTTTTTGATGAATTATTTATCAAAAACTGTAAGACAATGAAAGATTAATCGGTGAAATTATAATTTATGAACGAACCAATCAGGTATAAGATAGCAGGTCTTGGATTTTGGCCTTGAAATTCACTCATCCATTTGGCTGAATAGAGTTTTGTTATTATATCTGATGTCAGTTCGTGATGAAAACCATACATCTAATTTCTAACCTTAAACATCAACTGTAAATCATAATTCTAATTTGTCACACCGGTATCTAACCTTCATTTGGTCCTAGTTATTAGGTGGACACTTTCAAGGTCAGTCTAACGTCACTCAAAAGTCGTCCATAATTTATAGTCTCACCGATTAATCTGCCAATTTCCTTGTTTTAACTCTCTTTTATTCTAATAGAACAAGATACATTAGTTGTAGTCAATTGAGTACAGCAGAAAATGTCCTAGTTTCGTTTTACATTTGAATGGAATGAGGTTAAATATTTCATTCTTGAATATATATAACTAAGTTAGTTTTTAATTCATTGAAACATGGAAATACTTGATATTCAGTAAGATGAATGTATGTAGGATATGCATGTGTAAATATCTTATATTTTGTGTAATTTATTACTTTATCTTATTATGCGTTATGAAACAATGACTATTAGCAAGGTATTTTTCTGAATATCATGCATATTGAATCCCAATACTGGACACCTTAATGCATAAGCCACTTAGTTTGAAAATGTCCCATCAGCTAGTAAGATATTATAACCGGTGAAGTTATTCCATCTCGGGTGTTGGATATGTTTCCTTTAAGTTAATGGATAATGATCAAGGGAGACTGAAATTAAGTGTTTAATAAAAGTAACACACTATGAAACAATTAGTTGCTTTGATCAATTTTGATATACAATGAGAAGACGAAGATAATCAGAACTATGTGATAATATTTGTGCAATAATACATTGAATAACCTGAGCACATATATACTTGTTAAGACATTTTTATATGAAAATTATAAGGTCAACTAGACAGATTAAAGGTAAGTCATAGCAAAGAAAAATCAAGTACACATAAACAATATTGATAACCACTATGGATAATAAATCAGTATTACTAGGGTAGGTTGTTCAAAATGTAGTGCGTGAACATTATAAATCCTGAAATTTCTAAGTTCAATAGCTTGTGAAGTTTCAGCTGATCACAGCTATTATTTCTCATGCTTCTTGGTTTTCAATGAATCCCTAACTACAGTGAATTGATTATTGGTATTTCGTTAAAATTATTAAATATTCTTTATTTTCACATTATAATTAGTTTCATCACAAAACAGCATTCAATTGGTGAATTAATTAAACCTCTACTGCTAAACACACAATTGAAACAAGTCATAAGATTGATTTTAACTCGGCTTTTGTAGTGTTTTACAAAAGTGTTAAAGGGCATATACATACTAAGGTTTATTGAAGCTTTAGCCATACGAAAATTCAAACCACCTCTGTGTATTCAAGAACAGTTTGTTTTCACCTTAAACCTACACTGGTAATATGAGCATATTATCCAGAATGATGCAGTTTCAAATTATCTCCACATTGTTTTTTTTTTAATTATCCTAATGTCTTCTTACCCTCGATTTCTAGTCTAGTTAACCTTCTATTTTTATATATAAATGTGCTTAATAAGTATATAATGTATGATCAGATTGTTCGAAATATATTGCACTAATATATATAGCATAGTTCTGTTACTCTTTGTCTTCCTGTTACATTATCCAAACTTATCAAAGGGAACTGAACTTTCAAAAAAGACAAAATAGTTGTTATCACATCTTAATAATAGAAAAAATTATTCATCATGATAATTCTTGAAATCACTACCAAGATCGGTTCTTTCTTATGAATTTATAGAATATCATGACAATAGTTTTTTCCCCCCAGATAAGATGAATTCATTATTGTTTTCCCTCAGATACATATAGATTTATGAAATTAGTTCGATTGATATTGGTCTAGCTTCAATTGACTTATAATCTCAACTAATGAAATTACTACAATCACCATGAAACCCCTTCAAATTGAAATATATTTAAACAAAATATATGGAAAGTAGATAGATGAATTATATGTTGAACAACAGTAAATTCTTTGGAAGATAAAGTTGTACAAATGTTTAATTGAGAAATTTCAATGGAGCTATTTTTAAGTAATTAAAGTGACCAGTTGTAGAATATTGAGTGCACCTTATTGTCCAAGATGAAAGTGTATAAGGATAATTATTCAAAGAGTGAAGATGAAATCAAAGTTATATTTTCTTAAGTAAATTTGGTTGCAATTTACAAAGCATGTTCCTGAATTACTGTACTATTGTTAACAAAAAATGAGCTGTTGCATGTCATCTTCAGTTCTATCAGCTGATTATTATGAACTTGAGAAAACAAAAATTGGGTGAAATTCCAAGGATCTTAAATAATAAAGGATAAACCGTCTTCCTAGCTTAATAGTGCACTACACAATGAAGACAAGATATAAGGTAGATACAATGTAGTGAAGGAGAACACAGGGGAGGACAACCGAATTATATTTAGCACGACATTACAGAGTTATTTGGTAAAATAGAAAAACCATAATATAATACCTAATTTGCAAAATGTTCGATGACTGTCTCGAACTTCGTTGTTCTTGGATTTCCATACTAATTGCTTTCTAGTCCCGATCTTCCTTTCTTGATCTTCCCAATCTTCTGCTGCCAGACATTACATTTCTGACTCGCGTCATATACTACTTATGTCAATATAAGTAGCACGCGCCACCACAATATATACATTAAAAATTTACATAAGTTATTGTCTATCTAAATCTCAACCATTGTATTCCAAAAAAGTTCACTAGTTCATTCATCAACTGTTTTTCAAGTAATGCCTGAATCTTTCATATACGTAATTCATTATGCATCAATATTACAAAATAATAAACTGAAATAAATGTTTATATATATGGCGTTAAACTTTAAAGTTTTGTCAAAGAAAAAAATTTAGATAAATCTTTAGTGGCTCTATATTTGACTTCAGTGAGATTGGACAAATGATCGTTATTGAATGACTGCTGTCAAAATACACATGTCGGCTATTATCGTATATTATATCGACTTAATCACATTGATGAATAACGAAATTAAATAAGCCAAATACGAGAATGGATTTGTGAATACATATATTTTGTACACTCACTGATCTGAACAGGAAATGAGAGCGATGAAGCGAATAGAAGAGAGTGAAACGACGTGTCGCGGAGAAGGCATGTGAATCAACTCCATCTATCCAAGAGTAAATCATTATTTATAGCCAGATAAAAGTAGGTTACAGACATGTGATGAATAGGATAAGAAGTGTACACATATATACGCTCATATAAAAACAGTCAAGGTTGACAAGTGAATAATTAACAAAGTCAAAACGTAACTCAAGAACAATGGATAAATTGACCTATCCAGAAGCTAGAATAAGTTATATAGGCTTAACATAGCAACCGACACTACACTGTTAACACTAAAACGTGAAAGAATGTTGAAAGACTTATATAAACCTTTGTTAAAATACATTGATATGTGATTTATTTATATTTTATAGATACTTATCAACTAGTGAGTATTTACAAACTAAGGGTTTAGCATTGTTTGACTATGGCCACAACACTTCGAGTTTTATTCTGTTTAAACTTGAGTGTAATTGATATGGATAAATCTTAAATTACAACAGTATAATCATTTAGTATTTAATTATTTTCTGTCATTCTTCAACTAGTATATATTTTCAATATGAATCTATTTTAACATTAACTTATATTTCAGTGAATGACTAATTTTGAGTGTTCATAGGTTTAGTTATTTGTTTAATGTGGTTAGCGTTTTTTTTAGTAAGATTTTTTCTACGGGATGGGGTTGTACACCTCATACCTAACCCTTCTCTTATATCCGTGCTTTGGACTAATAGTAACTCTAGAAGAACTACATGCGGATACTCAACATTCATTGTCCGGATACTATCAGCATCATTTTTCTGTAGGAAAGAATAAATCAGCTTCCATATGAAAAGGAAATTAGGAAAAGACATTGGAAGTGGATAAGATATTTACATTACAGAAATCATCAAACTATATCATGAGACAAGTCCTAACTTGAAATCTTGAAGGGAAACGATAAAGATAAAAGTCAAAGAACATATTACATCAAAAAAATATTTTAAAAAAACATATATGAAAAGGATGGATAACAATTGGTAAGAATTATCCAGGACAGAGTTGTATAAAGAATACTGATGGGCGGTTTATGCATCTCGACGACGGTTAACAGGCGTAATTAAATAAATAAATAATAAATTAATTATCTAATTCACTACTTATAAGTAACATAAAAAAAACATATTTCATAAGCTTTTAATAAAAATAATTAATTAAATTATACATTAAATACTTACTCTCATTATGTATTAATTTGTATGTATATATAGAATATGAATAATGATTTAATTGATTAATAATTAATTAATTATTTAATATTCCATTAGAAATAAATATTTTTTTTCTCTTTTTTAATCAATCAATAAATCAATAAATCAATAAATCGATACTTGATTAATTAATTAATTAATTAATTCATGAACTTTCACATGCTCTAAATGGAGAATCTTTTGAAATCGGCTAATTTATTAAAACAAAACAAACAAACGAAATTGTTTTCCTGTGTGTGTGTGTGTACTAATAAACGAATGTGAGAATGTTTTTTTTGAAAACAAAAAAGGGAATATAAAGTCATACAATAAAAGGAGTATAGTAATACATCTATCTATACTGATTACTGGTTTTATGTTATTTTATGATAGTTATTTGATTGGATATGTTCAATGTATCCATGGGTAAATATAGATGGGTAGACAGACAATATCATAATTAAGTGTATAGATGAATAATAGTTAATATATAGATATAGTTAAGTAAGTTATTCACTAATCGGTTAACTTTATTTTTAAAAATAATCTATTGAAATGTTATGGTTGGTTATTAGATTGTTCACTTGAATGAAATGAATCATTATTTGAAAACGTAATCGAATATATTCATTATGCTATGAAGTAATAGTCTTTTGTCATTTTGATTTGTTTTATGTAGTATATACAGTAAATTGAATGACTTTCCCGGTATCCTATAGTGTATGAGCATTCCATGTCAGAAAACGCATCAGTCTTGTGACTTCTGAGGTGTTATAGCTCTTCTAAATGAAGATCTTCTAACTTCCAAGACGGGATTTAAATTATTTGAATTAATTTTTTCTGGTTAGCAATCTTTTAGCAAGTTAGTTTTCTACGGGATGCGGTCTCTAACATTATGCCCAACCCTCCTTCCTTATCCTGGTTTGGGACCGACAGTAGCTCTAAAGGGGCTCCAGGCGGAGTTAATAGGCAAAAACTACTTGCACATAATAAAGTGGATTAAAACTTTCTTACATTCAATAGAATTAAATGATTTACAAATATCTATAATCAGAAGGGGTTTGTGGAGATTTTAGAAGTTTTCGCAGATTGGAATCATGAGTCAGTTGAAGCTAGACGACCATTGAAAACCTGGAAGCACTGGATGGCTGTTTCGTCCTAGTATGGAACTCCTCAGCAGTTTGCATCTGATAATAATCAACTGCTCACTAGTGACTGACTTCAGGAAAAACTCCTGAAGTTCTAGTGAGAAGCCGTTACCAGTGGAGTTCAACCAGGTCTGTTGTGAGATAACAACTCACTGGAGACAATGGTGTACGGTGGCGCAATTTCGTGGATTAATTGAAGTTAGACATTAACACCGTTGTATGCCGGCTCAGTGGTCTAGTGGTTAAGTGCTCGCGCGCGAAACCAGTGGGTCCTGGGTTCGAGCCCCGCGTGGTGCGTGATCGTGGATGCGCACTGCTGAGGAGTCCCATACTAGGACGAAACGGCCGTCCAGTGCTTTCATGTCTTCAATGGTGGTCTAGCTCCAACTTACTCATGATTTCAATCTGTGAAATTTCAAAACCAATTTCATTATTGTATTAATTATGTTGACAAGAAATGTAATAGCTATTATTATTATTATTATTATTATTATTATTATCATTATTATTAGCTTTATTCAACATTATGTTTTTGGTACAACATAGAATTCTCAGCATAAAGTATTTCAACAAGTTTCCTTTTCTTATACCTTGATCGATTGTGACGATAAATTTTGAATGATGACCAGTTAGATGTTAGGAGTTCGGTAATCCACATTTGATTACTGTTCATTCGTTTCAATGCATATTGCCAGCCACCATGATGTGGCTGATTGTACCTTTTTGTATCCCGTATAGCGAAAGGTTGTAAACTTTTCATAAACGCGCCTGAATAGATTGTGCACACAATAGACATAGTGATGTGCTAAAACAAACAACAAAACAGATAACTTGATGGAATATCTAGATCGGAGGGACAGGTAGCCCAGATATTCAAGCAGGCCGCCGGTTAATTAATTACTAATAGCAAAGGTTATAGCTAAACTTCAAACAAATATATTAAGAAATATCACTAACTGATCACTTCACAGTTGTCAAGGTCACCATGAATAAATGTTAACTTGTCACCTATATCATGTGACCACTTAGTAATTCTCTTCTAGCTTTCAATTCTCTTCATGTTCTTAGTGGAATATGACATATATTACTAGTAAATCATTCATAACGTAATTCTCTTAATCTAGGCTTTCGATTTCCAAAATATTTTGCACATACACTTGTTCGTAATAAGTTGATGTTGACTGCTTTCAATATTCATCATGAAATTATCTCGTATCATTAGTAAATTCTTAGCTCACATTATTGCTTTATTATTTTCTTTGCAATGTTATCACACATACTTCTTATCATAATACTTCATTTCAATAATATATCTTGATTGAGATCATGAACCGATTGATGTTAGACCACCGTCGAAAACCTGAAAGTACTAGACGGCCGTTTCGTCCTACTGTGGGAATCCTCAGCAGTGCGCATCCACGATCCCGCACCCTGCGGGATTCGAACCCAGGGACTTCAGTCTTTGGATCACTGAGTTGGCATCCGGTGGTCTAACATCAATCGGTTCATGATCTCAGTTAAAAAATTAATAATCTCCACAAACCCTATACTAGTAATATATCTTGAGTTTCAACATAAACCTATCGATTGGAATAATCTTCATATTTTTTATGTTAGCGATTCAACTGATAAGAATGAAAACCAGAAGTGAAATTGAAATAGTGTACAATAATTTTATTATAAAATGATTTACTCTTATAAGCCGGACTGTGTTGACTGCATAAAGAGAACTTTATTAACATGTTTATAAGTATTAATCTGCATGAAATTCAATCTTAATTTTAGAATATTTCATCAGTTTTAGTTACATTAATCCATTAGAAATATCTTTTACGATCATTGTGGTGTTTGAATGAACTAATGATACCTTTGCACTTGTTGAATGCTTGATTTCGAATTCTAAATACAGTACATTCGTTTGTGCTTATCTAGTACTTCTTGATCCGATTACGTTATTTCTGGAATTCCTAGTTCATACCATAATTCAAATACTTCTAATTATCATAATCATCTAAACAGCTATAAGAATAAGTTAAAATTGAGCACACATGAAAGTGAATTGGCACTTTTTGTCCAGTTTTGCTCACCATCATTTTGAAATTCTATCCATCATCTATTATGCCTTATTAAATGCTCTTTTGGCTATGTTAATAAAGTAGTTTGATATATTCATCGTATCAAAATGTAAATTAATTAAAGTTCTATGTTACATTCTAGTTCAACTTTTTGAAAAATGGTATAAACTAGGCAGAAAAAAGGAGTTGGAAAGTTTTTGAAGGAGGATACAAATAATCAAACTAACAACACTATAAGCAAATAACTGACAATTTATGTACATATATTCCAGACATATTTTTATCATGGTAGTGTAGTGACCTACTTTTATCAAGAGAACGCGATTGATTTAATGGAACTAAACATTATTATAACCGATTGTATCAGTGATTGTTTTACCATGCTCGTTTGTTTAACTGAGCCAAAGACAGCCATATTCCTACTCCATTACTCTCCATTCTTCCTTCCTTCCTTCGACTGTGACCTTGCATGGACTCGGTTACTCTCAGTAACCGCACTTGTACTCCTTTGGGACGATCTCGGTATTCTTTCTATACCACGAGATCGCCAACGAATACATCTCTACTACAGCCATCAACTGTCTTCTGATATTTAGCTTACAGAGGATTTTATCGGTTAACTGGCAGCACGTTTTTCAATTAGACTCCATCTTCCCACTGATCTATCAAAATTCATAAAAAAGATTGATTACTTTAACCTGTCCGTAAGGCTAGATCATTATTTACAAACAATGAACTGATATTCTTATTTTTAAATTGATTGAAACAACGTTTTCACAGAAGTTTCTTCTGTAGAGATCTGATGAAATGGCCTAAGTTAGGTCGTTAAGAGTTAACTGATAACATTATAGATAGAATAGTTATTTACTTCCTTACTTTGTTTGGACATTTCATTTACCATACTGAATGATGAAATGTTTATTTATTTTGAGTAGCAGCGTCCAGAGATACCTGTTTCTCGTGTTATGTAATAAAGCGTGTAGGAAAACGTCTTAAAGTCTTTGTATTCACGATATAACGAAGAATTAACATAATAAAGCTAACTCACTAAAAAACGTTAGCCAGGAGAAATAATTTAAACCGTTAAATAAGTCTTCAATATTGATGCCTACTTCATTAGTTTTACTGAAAGTACCCTATCTGAATGCGCTCGGTTAAGAGTCCACACCAGATCACCATTGGATACACCATGCTATGCAACTCTTACAACAACTAGTCAGCTTAGTCCACATACTTCTCGATATATCGACCATCTACCAAATATATCTCCGAACTGTTTCAATACTGGTTTCTGGTTTATCTGGGTTTGGGATCCTCGATTGTAAATGTGTTACAGACAACAGCGTTGTCAAGTTTTAAACATCCGCGACGCTTTGATTGGTGGGCCTGACGTGATCTGGTACACTAAGCGATAAGTTGTGGGTGTATTCGTTGTCGCAGCATTGCATATATTCTTTTGCATACAGTGATATTATTTTTGTATCCTCAGATTTTTTCACATATTTATTCTCAATATGTCTGAACACACACCTAAACGTTTAAAGAGCAAGACTCTCACACCCTCTATCCTGCACTTTTGGAACTCTGGACGGACAACATCGAAGCTTAGTACTGGTATTCAGAAGTTGGTTTCCTCGGGCAGTGCATAACAGACCCAAATCTTTGTAGTAGTAAACGCTTTTTCGTATGACTTTAACAGTCACAATACAGCTGATATATTTACTACAGATGTTTCTAAACGTTATGACTTTTTTAAAAACGTTATGCTTAAACGTGAAGAACTAAACGACAAACGGAAATCAGGACAGTTGTTCCACAATATCGAGTTGCTACACGGCTCGGCAACAGATAAAATGTTACGTGTGAAAGAGGTCATACTATCATACTATAGTGAACAGAGAATTGGCGGGCATAACTATTTTTCGTTAAACAAAAAATCACATAGTTCTTTGGTAAAATGTGACAAACATACATTAAATGTCTCATTTACGAATCTTCAATCCATCGTCCCATATATTTTTCATGATTCCTCAATAGGCAATTCCTTGTTCTTTCTCCGTCCATTTTCTTCAGTTCAATCTTCTCAACCTTTTGACAGACATTCCACTTCTGATCAAAGTAACGTACTACTTTTTTCGACAGACATGTGTAGCACACACCACAATGCCATCGACTCTTCGTGTACCGTCCTTC